GATACATCTATGAGAATTCAGCTGAAGCCTCAGCTACAATTAACTAAGACGTCGTTTTTCCCTAAACAGAATATCAACATTTTATATATACAACTAAGTTGCAAATGATTACGTCCTCTGGTCGCTTGTATTCTGTTATTGTTATTATTTGAAATAGAGTCAATTGCATAACTCATTTTAGCTTGTCCTCTATTCGGGAATTTTTCATATAAATTGATACCTGAATAAAATATTAACTGTTGACCGAATATTACTGTTTCAGTGTTCCCAGTTTGAAAATGAACAAATGTATGTCTATTAAAAATGCTACTTCAAAAGTGGAATTCATTTGACTTTAATTATTAACTACTAATTAACTGAACTCTTCATGGACTAACTACAACAAACGACAAAAGAAAGACCACATTTTTATTTTCTGAGGTGTCTTAAGATAAACTATTAGCTGTAAATGAATCGATGTACACCCAAAAAATTTACATTCAACTTTTATCACCTTGGGACTGTCACTAATCATTGTTTCTCTGATTGCAACATAAACAAATGTTAGCAGTGCCAAATTAAGGAAGCAAACAGAGAAGTAATTTAAGACTTCAAAATGAGTCATCACCATAAATGAATACATAATAGTATATAGTACTTAAGCAAATAATGTATAAGATTTATTGCTCAAATAGATATTTTCGGTGGTTGTATTCTCTGAACTGGTTGGATCAACTTTTTTTTAATTTTTCTTTATTCCTTTGCATTTCGACTGGAAAATAGGGCTTCGAGCTACAGCTTCGAAGTTCCGATAGCAATGTGATCCTAGCATCACGCCCAATCTTCCCTCTTTACAGGACTTGCTACCAACTTAGCGAAGCTTAGGAGTGCGTCGGCCAAGGATCAGTCCGTGGGACACCTGCGTGGTTGGAAAGCGTTCTAACGCTGAACCACGTACTCACGAGCCACACGAGGAAACCCCAGTGGATTAGCATTTCATTCCATCTTTTCCGATATATACAGATAATGTTATGAAAGATTTCTTGTAATCTATTGAATTCCTTCGACTACACGACATCAAAGTTTTGTCTGGAGTGTGTTCAATGATCCCAGTGGTTGAACAAAAAGTTTTCTACCATTATTCTAGATGATGTCAATAAAAACATTCTTTTTTTACTGTCCTTGAGTATACGTCCAGAAACAGTAATCAAACTTGCAATAAAACCAGCTAGTTAGAAAGAATCTAAGTTAGTGTTACAAACACCCACTAAAACCATAAATCTCTGCATCATTGCACAGCTGTTTTTCTTAAATATTCCACGACCTTTCTACAAATTATGCTGTTCTAGATGATTAGATAATATATGTATTTTTCATAAATGCTGTCGATACAAAAATAAATTCTCTGCTCTGATATTCACTTGTAAGAAAACAAAAGTACGAATAACAGCTTTGATGTGTAAACACTTGCTATCTATAGATTTGATACGATATTAATGTGTCGAATGAAAGACTGCGCTTGAGTGAACTCAGCGATCTGAAATACATGAATATATATATATATATATATATATATATATATATAGAGAGAGAGAGAGAGAGAGAGAGAGAAGCATACAACATCCATGATAATTACATTATCCAATTCAAAATAAATAATTATAGCACTTTGTATACTAATATGTGAACCATCTTGCTTAGATTAAATGACCATATTGACGAATTTATGTATCGTGTAAATGGAATTATACGTAGGGATAACCTCAGTTTTGTATTTTATAGGTGAATATGACTCCCTTACCCATAAATATTTGTGATTATGTGATTTTTGTAGTGCGATTCATTTCTTTTAAGGTTGTAATTTAGTATGTGTACTTTTAGGATAACAAGAGTATCACTTTTAAGCATGCGTATATACTTATTTTATAGCAATTACTGAAGTTGTCATTAAAAACGTAGCCCTTAAAATAATAGTATAACTAAAGATATGAGAGATGCTTTCAAAATAATGCATATACACTCAGACAAATGTGCAGAAATTGGTAAAGTTACATTTTACTGGATAACTGGATAACCGTATGAAGTATTATTCAACCAAAATATTATATCAGTCATTTCATGCCTGTCACTGAAAATCATAGTGTTCGAAGCAGACTATTGTCTAATTCAATTATTTGGACAGAATTTAATCATTAACTGATGTCGGTTAGAGGACCATTGGAAAACCTGGCAGTACTAGACAACTGTTTTCTCCTAGTTTGGGACTCTTCAGAAGTAGGCACCCACCAGAAGGGTTCAAACCCAGGACCTCCTGGTCCTCATGACCAGTGGGGTACAGCAGGTCGAAGTTGAGGACAGTTACTCATCGAACAAGACACTGCTAAGTGGCCGCTCAAAGTCGTGAATTGGCAGAAGTTAGAATACATGAACCGATGGACTGGGTCCCAGCGCCCTAATGGTCTGCGAGCTCAACTTGTAAACAGAAGGCCCTGGGTTCGAACCCCTGTTGTGAGTGCGTACTGATAAAGAGTTCCAAACTAGGACGAAACTGTTGTCCAGTACTCCCTGTAGGTTTTCCAATGGTCTTCTAACAGATGTGAGTTCATGATAAAACCCTCCAAACATACACTTATTGTTAATTTAAATTCAGAGGAAGAAAAATACTTATCAACTGGTAAATAACAAATTATAACTCAATAAACTACCGAGGTTGATTACTGAAAATCTTTCTAGTAAATATGAGGTCGAGTGTTGTTACACAAAGAAACATTACTTAAGTAACCTCTAAAAGTTAACAACTCATCAGTGCTTTATATATATATATATATATATATATATATATATATATATATTATTACAGCTTGATTCCACACTGTATTTTTGGTACAAGTATAGAATTATCAGCATGTGATATCGGTAGCACAAATTTTGCAGGCCGACCATAGATATCAGGTGTGCGTCGGCAGGAGATCGAACCCTGGACCATGTGCATGATCGGAGAGAGCCCTAACCCCTGTGCCACCGATGCACACTGTTTTGATTAAATAATGAACAGTAAAGGTGTCATATAAAATTATTTACAAAACCGTTAAAGTATTCCTCACAATTCATGTTATTTAATTCCTGTAACTTACAATGCAAAATAACTCATCCGTAAGTGTCGCATTTGAAAGAATTCAAAATCAGAATGAAAATTTAGGAGCTTGAAAGACGAAAATTTCATTTTCAAGTAGTTTAGCAATGTGTTTTTATGTGAATCTTTAAAGAGTTTATACTATCTTGTGTTGGTAAGCACTTCCAATGCTGCTTCAGTCTCATGGATCCTTCGAATGAAGTAGGTCCATAACGAAATTTAGACTGAAATTCATTATTTATTTGAGCTGATGATGCATCCATTATCTTAACAGGTATTAATTCACATTAACCTCAAAAAAAATGCCTATTTTAGTTATCAAGATGACGTTTAAATAAATGTGACTTAAAATGTGATACCTCTCGAAATATGAAACTATTACCTAAAATGAACATCATTTGAAGGGGGGGGGATTGTTTATTGGATACTTTTCAGTGGAAGTTGTTCAGAAATGACTGAAAATCAAAGTAAGTTAATCTTCTACCACATATGGAGATGTCACAACCAAAAGTGATTCCCAAACTGATCATCTGTTTAACAGATCACTTTAGTGAATAAGGTTTGTCATTTAGGGACGGTAACTCTAAACCGTAATGTAGAGTAACGGTCCATGTAATCAACCTGACTAAGATAGATAGATGTAAAATGGTGACATAGCAGTAATCAATTGTACTGAATTTAAAGGTTTGAAACGCGGAACCTTCACTTAGTAGTTGTGCCAAACTCATACGGTTATTCAAAGATATTTTCAGGGCCCACTGACAGCTAACACCAACCGTTTGGGTTCTTAGTAAATCTGTTACTTAAAACTAGACCAACAACCTGAACAAGTTCATACCTACCCACGATTTTTTCTACTAAAGATAAACTTTTAAAAGCTAAAGACATCCTAACAAATTATTCATCAAAATAGACGTGATTCTGCAAACTACAACGCAGGAGCTCAGATTACACTCAGATAAGTTCCCAAACAGAGATTTAGTTATGTCAACCAGCTAGACATGAAGAACCACAACGCATGTCTACTTTGCAATAAAAGATGATGGAGTCTTCTGTACAAAAGGCTTTAATAAATCTGTCTTGTTCATTTTTTGCTTCTGTCATTTTCAACAATGAAAACGAAAAGTCCCACTAGGGTTTTTCGAGTGTTTCATTTGTGCTGATTCATTCGACTCTGAGTTATAATTATTTTTCGAGGACTTTTAGGTTCTACCCTTTTATTGATCCATGATGAACCTACACTATTAGGAAAACTGATGAAAATGATAGGGCAGTAAACCTTGGCTCTCAGTGGTTCTCTAACTAATTAGTCAGTGATGAAAGTCATTTTGGAACTTATGCAGAACTTCGTCTAGCCAGTCAACGTATATAATTGCACTGTGATGAGTAACCACTATTTACATGTAATTACACTAGATAACAGTATTTAAATACCATTCTTTTCTTCTAGTTCACTATGGCTTTACATAACATAATGGAGACAACTTTATGACCCTGAGTTTTATTAATTTCTCTGTGTTTATTTTTGTTGATGCCTAGGTCTTCATGATCATATGTTGGTCAAGATTTCAGTGAAACTCGGTTTATAGTAAAGTATAATTTATAGTGCTGACATTAAACAAACATCAGATGCCAAAAACGGTGTATACCACCTCACTGGACTTTCTCATAATATTTATTAGGAAGTTGAAACATCCAATCAGAATTACTTCTCAAACATTCGCATGGCATGAAATAATGAACCAAGCGTGATTTCATTCGCTGTTTTAATTCTACCAAATAATTAGCTCTCACCATAGTAAATTTTGATTGGCAGGTTTTGATTCCAGCGTTGATTTAGTGATAGGTGTATTTCCCTTTAAAAAGGAAGAAAATATACAGTACTTACAGGAAATTTTTTAAGTGTTTCATGGGATGGAGAGTAATTTCACGAATTCTGTATTCTCATATCCAAATGGCTTGGCAGCATGTCCAAATCAAATTAAGGCGTGTTCGTGTGACTGTGTGAAAATGAGACAACTCTCTACGCCTGTGGGTGAAAGAATCTCAATGAGCGAGCTTAATAATATGGGATTTAGTTTACAAACCAAACAGATATTACACAACTGTGAACCCAGTATATGCACTCCATATGCACATACTACAAATAATTTTATTCACTATTCGTGTAGACCAGATTATTTTCCAAACCAGTCACCTGGATGCATGTACTGTCAACAAAGTTACTTGTCACATTATTACCACACACCACCGTGTACTTGTCTCCGCGGTCACACTAACTCAAATGAACACCTACATAACTGTCAACATGCTTTTACTCACCACCAAGCCAGTGATTGTCATCCACAGTATTCACATCATCCAAATAATGAAGATTCTCTTCTGAACAAAATTAAGCAGACAGATGATGACAGCAACCGTAATCACAATAGCAACTTTATATCAAGGCAAAGTGAACAGATTAAGAAAATGTACAAGTGTAGTTATCCTGGTAAGTTTTGATTATGACTATCTAAATTATTTATGCTGTCAGCTGTAAAGCAAGACAGTTATTCGGGATGATTTTAAATACTGTGTGAAGATAAGTCACTGATTTTAATCAGCATAATGTGTTTAATGATATTTAACAGCCTATCAGAATTAGTTTTTACATACAACAGTGTTTAGGCCGTACTATCAACATAGGCCGCATAAACTGTCATTCAACTGTTTATCACTGTTACATCATGTTTCACTAGGTATCTATGCTGCAGTTATCCGTATTCAAGAGCAAATCGGTATTATTTATCAAAGTGGATGTAACGTTTGAGAAAATGCAGTTATAGTCTTTGCAAACAATAAATTAAGTTCAGCTGTAATCATCGCTGTAATATATGTAAGTGTCTTATGATACATAAGACACTTACATATATTCACTCAAGGCATGTAGAGTGGTAAAAGTGTTCTCATTTCATTACCTCCTAACTCAGGGATATTTCTCTAAGGTGATTATTGATTTGTATTTCGGCTGATATGGTGAAGTCATTATGATTATTCAATTTACTAGTTGTTAATATCCTCTTGTGCTAATTACCCTTTGTCTAACTGTGTCCTCGGAATTCCTATTTCCTTGTGCTCCTGTATCCTATTAAACCGTGAATTATAAATGTCTAACTGACCTCCATATTGCTATGATTTCTATCTATTTTCACTTGTCATTTGGATACCGTCACTATGTATCAATCACATTTCGACTAGACACTGTAGGCCTAAACTTTCAAAACTGAGTTTTCAAATTTTAGAGCGAACAATTAGTAAACTTTGTAAACTTGATTATAACCAAAAGTATAGGGAGTGTAATGCATGGACGGTGACGCTGAATATTTGATATGGGCCCCATCATTTCGGTGAGATAATACTCTTTGCAATATCATTCCTTTTGTCCTTAATTAAGATAATAACTGACTTGAGGCAAGGAAATGTGGGCCCCCCGTTTCAGAAACCATGTTTCTTATATCAAGGAGTTAAAAGACGGTGAGTACTTTGTATTGAAGCATTAAGGTCAATGTACCTCACGGTAAAGTTTAACTTTAAGTATCACTAACCACCAATTAGAGAATGACCTTGAATGCACCAGTCACGTGAACGGGGCATTCATGTGTATGGAATATATGTATTTCTGAAAAAAAAAAAAGCTGTTTAAAAGTTTTACAGAGGAAACCTTGATCTCACATGTGATAAAAATAGATCTCAGTTTTAGGTTAGTGTGTCAACAGAGTATAATTCCATTGTTAGTAAAATTTATCTTGATGAAGTTACATGGTGTAGTACAGTAATATTTACTGAGCAATAAATTGTACTCGAAACGTCATTAGTAAATATTACTGTGCTACACCATGAGACTTTATCAAAATAAATTTTACCCACAATGGATTTATACTCTACCACAGAGCACAAGTTCTATTCTTATACCAACAGAGTAATTTAGCCACATTCCATGCATGTAATCATTTAGATCTTTAACCCTAACAGTACCCCTAATCTTTCCTGAACCTGACCCAAACGTGGAAATATTCCTAAACTAAGTGTAATCTAAGTCGAACCAACCCTAATGTTGCCTTTATTAGGATAACCTAACCCTAACTTGTCCTTGACGTGAACCGTAACTTAATCTTCCCCAGACGTAGGCTGAAACTTGCTAGATATCCCATTTAGTAGCATAATACTTCGGTAAGCAGATTTTATTGATGATGACAGCAAATTTGCCATGTTTCACTAGTTCAGTGGGCGTTTCAAGGTCATTGGTGCGGTCGCACTCCATTGGTAGTTAGTGGTGCTTAAAGTTTCACTTGGTCAAAGGACCAATTCCAATCTCTAGAATTGTGAAGAGATGTGCCTCTTTTGGAGCAAAAACATTTTTGGCAACATTAAAGATGCCACGGTAGAGTGACCTTGAACCAGTCAATCAGACCACTCAACATTACTGAAGGATACAGTTCATAGTCTAAGTTGTAAGTTTCACCCCGAATAAAACCCGGCGTTTTGATGATTATAATTTTGTCAAGTTAAGCACATTCTTATATTTCTTAATAAAAATGTGAGCAACCATTTCCTAGTGTTTATCGCGTGAAGTGTATCGTTACTGAGATTCCATATCAATGAAGATTTTGTTTCTTTTCCAGATAGTACTGAAATATCAAATCTCTCTTTGATTGGAAAAGTCGGTTCTATTCGAGAACATTAATCAGTAGCCCATTCGATAAGGTCAGAACTTTAAGAAGTGTGTTACTTATTGTAACATATTTCTCATTTGTTTGACTGAAATGAGATTACCGATCTTTCTTCAGACACATATATGAATTAACTTAGTTTAATTAAGCTGCATGGTTTGTATTTACTAAAGTATTAAGATTAACTAACACTCTCTGCTTTTGCCTCATGCATTTTTTTTAATAGGCTGTGAGAAAAGTTATGCAAAACTGTGTCATCTAAAGGCTCATTATCGCATTCATACCGGTGAGTATTTTTATTACTTCTGACGTATTAATCGTGAATAGTGATCGTGGATTCATCCAGTGAGGCTTGTTGTTACAAATTAGTTTTGACCATTGATTAAGAGTTGTTTTTAGTTCACAAGCCGGGTGAATGTAAATGACATTTTGCTAGGCGTTTCAAGTGCATTAGATAAACTTATCCAAGTACTAGTTCACTCATAATTCTCCTATGTCTTTTGAATAATTTAGCAGCATGCAAGTTGATTTCAGTCCACAAATCCTTTGTATATTTTCCCTATCTGATCTAGCTATAATCCAGATGATATCCGTGCAATAATTTTGACACCATCTTTTATTAACTTAAGCCTACTGTCATAACACTGCAAAATACCGAAATGCGTGAATTCATTTGTCAGATGAAATCTATTCTCACTTGTTCTCTTATACTGGATCATCTGAATCCACAAAAGAATAACAAGTGTAAACATCAATTCTAGTGTTTTACACCTGATGCTTATAGTTGAAGCTAATCAAAATGAGTTAACAACATCCTTTAGTAAGACTCACTGCCCTCCGTATACACACCATTAGTACTGGCAAAAATTTCAGGCAATTTATCATCCTGTAATATCCTTGTAGGTGTAAAACTTCTCAATATATAATATAACATTTTAAAGCAGGATAAACAATTACAACATATCCAGTACTCTTAATTTAAAAACAATGTAGACCTGGAATTATCACATTTAAGTTCAAAAGTTTGATATTAAGATGTTCTTCAAACAGACGGTTACGTGTTGTTGACACTGAAAATCGCTAATTTGTTTAAAGACGGTTACTAAAAGTGGAGCAAACCCGAATGACGAGTTTGTAAAATGTTCATTAATTAGACAGTTCATGTCAAGGGTTCATTAGCTGAATAGATTCTCAACTAAATATGAAGGAGCTAGGATATAGACTTTCTAATTTTCGAATTCCAGGAGGAACTATTTAGTCATGTCTTTCATTGAAAATTTGACTTTATTCAATAGATGGTGGCTAGAAGGAAGCTACTTGACTTTTAGAGCGATTGTTTCTTGGTTCGAATTTTGGTGACAATACTACTACCTACTGGGATACAGGTACACTGTAGTTGATTTTTGAACGCTACTGCTTCCATATATTGGATTCTATTGTTAGCCTCCACATCATGAAGCCGCGTTATCAGCTAACAGCAGATATTACTGTAGAAAAAAAGAACAGTTAAAAGTCGTTCACACTTACTTGCGGATTCAGTCGTTCAGTTCACCTAAAACTCCATTCATTATAGTACAATGGAAAATACAGTGAATTGTTTAAATATTCACAGAATACAAATGGGTGTAGACGGACTCCAGAAGCAAATATATATTTCACATTTTAATGTTAATAAAATAGTACTGTTGTATTTTGTGTCTTCTATTTTTGCAGGTGAACGCCCTCTTGTTTGTGTTTTCCCATACCCACGTAACATGATTGCTGAACTCTCAGTGACGACTTCACTAACCGTACCAATATGTGGTGAGAGATTTGCACGCTCAGATGAATTAACTCGACATTTAAGAAAGCATCTAAATATCCGACCATTTAAATGTTACATCTGTTCAAAAGCATTTAGCAGGTCAGACCATTGCAAAGTTCACTTGCGTACTCATTTTCGTAAACAGTATCGAAAGAATGTTTCATATCCCAATCGCCCCACTCATCACTTACCGAAGAACTACGTTGATGAATCACATGGGAATTTAGTCCATCTACCAAATTTTACATCACCGGAAGAAGCGGATATTAAGGTTTTTAACAACTTACCTGTCTTGTCATCGTCATCATCATTTCGGCCAAATGTAATAACAACTGAATTTAGTCATTCATATCCAGTATAATCGTATTCATTATCGACAGTTTCTTCTCCAGAATCCTTCTCCTCGTAAATCATAGCTGGGGGTACCTTTAACATGTTATAAAATATCTTTAATTTTTTATGAACATTATCACCGCAAGCTTTCTAATAAATAAAGATCATCATATCACTGATAACTTGAAATTGAAATTTTTACACTACTTGAAACAAGAAAACTGCATGTCCAGTAGATTTATTTTATACTGATGACAGACCTCTTATTGGTAACACTATTTTTCTATCTCCATTAATAATACAACTTTTATAATTCATTTGGAGGATTTTCTCTATTCCCTTTCATCTAGAAAGGTAGACATAATTTGGGAAGTAATTCACTAGGTGTTTCTGTGCTAGGTGAACGGTAGTTTGTTCACTGATAGTTGTAGTAGTAGTGAAAGAATGATACTTACTTTACCCAAGGAGTGGTGTTTTAGTATTTACCTCTGATTTAAGATACCTGATAGAATAGGAGCGTTTAAACCAAGCAAATTTTGACCATAAATAAGGTGACCTAAAACCTATCTCTTATTACAGAGATAGATGCCTTAGAAGCGACAGTCTCACCCTCAGCAATAGTGCGAAATTATGGTCGTGCAGTAAGTACTTTGGAATAAATCAGGATGAAAATATAAGCATAAAATATGCTTATTATTAAGATGACCCACTATCACTCATGAATTGCTTATTTTTCTGAAGTAGTATTCATAATAGAAGTTGTAAATCCGAAACTATTCAGAGAATACGAAGAATCCTTTTCACTTTTGCTGTTTTCACCTATTTACATATAATTGTTACAAGACAATCACTCTTATAGTGATGATATGCACGCTTATGATTTCACGATCGCGCCGCCGCCATGTACCTATACGTTAGCTGCTCGAAGTGAAAAGCTGCGAACAGCATAATGTCCATGTAAGGGATAAATGTCTAGACTTTGTCAAGAGAAGGAAAATGTTATTCCAGATTGCAATAAGAAGATTAGGACTCTTGGAAAAGTAAGTATTTCAGGAATTTAGGACAACCATTGACTGGAAACTTAGGTGGAAAACACTGTAGTTGAGTGTAATCTTTCTAACTGACTACATCAATAGCACATAAGTAAGTGAAGTTTCTGGCTGCGCTGAGATTTCATTGATTCTAGGGTTGGTTTTCTGATATAGTTGGTGTTCGTACAAGCCGAATATATTCGCTATCAAATTTAGACCAAGTAACTATATGGGGACGTTCTTTCCATATAGCCTGATAGTCCTTGACTCGAATCTATTTGGGCCCGTGAGTGTACACTTTTGAAGAGAACCGTACTGGAACGAAACGATCCTCCGATTCCCCGATAACGATTCACCGTGAAAACAACTTGAAGAAAGTATTTATAATAGTCCATTGTTATAATGAGTGTGTAGAGTTTTCCACTAAATCTCATGTTCTTAATGAAGTTTACACCAAGTATATTTATCCTATCACATGTCTTAAGCATCATTTATAAGGATTATAGTTACTGCAGGTGGTAGACCTCGTTGAGACATGATCAGAGTGTGTAAATAGGCGTAAATAAATATTCCAACCTTATCAGATTATTTATTAACAATTGGTTCTCATTATCTTACTGTTATCTTGGTAGAATCTAAAGGTCTGTAAAAAGATATTCATTTCATGTGTCCAGTTGGTTGTACTAATGTACACTGATGTATACATACGCACACGAGACATCTACTCAACATAAAACTGATGAAATGTGACATTAGGTTTCTGTATAACTCGATAAATATTTTACGGTATGCGTTTGTCAATTAAGTTTATTACCATAAGTAGTTGATTGCATTTCATTCAGACACTCTGGAAACTGATACTGTAAGTGTGCGTTCGATGTGAAAAATCATTAATTTATAAATTTCGACGTAGTTTTCCTAATTGATGAACGCAAATTGAAAACTAGGAAGCACTAAGTAGCTGCTTCTCCACATTGTCCACTCAGCACGTTAGGTTCATTACCAACATTTCTGTTCATCTAGTGGGATGGAATTCAATAGTCAGCATCTTATAAACTGGTTCGAGGATTTCATCATATGCTGACATCGGTTAGAGAGCTACTGGAAAATCTGAGAGTACTGGACAGCTGTTTCGTCCTACTTTGGGACTCTACGGTGCGCACCCACCGGGGTTCAAATCCAGGGCCTTCTGATTACAAGATGAGCTCGTAGACCATTAAGCCACTTGGAGCGGGTCATATGGCCCATGAATTCTAGCTATTAAATTCTATCATCACATCGTGATATAACCCAGTGTCTAGTACCACTCATAACTGTTCACACCAGCTTAATTGATTTCTTAGTCCTCAACTTCTTAGTAAGAATTTCAAGAGATGCATTCCGAGGCCAAACACCAAAAGGAATCAGATACAGGCTTTATTGTTAGACACGCCAATAATTGGTTAGCAATGGATGATAGTCGTTCTATTTTATGTCCAAACCAGAGGCTAAGTGATCATCATAATACCTGACATATTTGGATCTAGTCTGTCTTAGACTCATGTGTATTAACGGCTGATGAATTTAAACACGAAAGAAAAATGCCATTTATTGTTGCAAAATTGACCCACCATATTATTCACTAGATGATGTGATTGCTTTCTTCAGAATACTTATACGATTCTTGATTAGAATTAAGGAAATGGAGTCGTTGTAAGAGACTCTCCCTGGCGATTAACTTTCACAGACACGTTTAATTAAACATACATCTCATATCTGAATACTAAGTGGTATCATAAGAAGCAAAAAATAAATTAAACCATTTACAGCCATTCCACTGTGTACCTGATAGACTCACTGTATCAGTTGTTTGCAAGTTTTTTTGTCCGAGAGAATACACTAGCTATCTCTATGCAGAAACCAACTACATTTCATTTTGTGCTTTATTTCATGAGTAGACAGTATATTTTCAAATCTCAAGTTGTATTCCATATGATAATATCTAGTTCTGTGTTCATATCCTATCATGCTTTCCCAGTAAATGTCACATTTATCTCGGTATCAAAGTAGTGTAAAGTTCCATCTAAAAGATTATCTCAAATAACGAAGACAAAACACGTTTTACTTGAAGCTTTAAAAATAAAATAAAAAATTTTCAAGTGTTGGTTTCTAGGTATTTGATTAATTTGTTACAGGATTTCATCATGAGGTGACATCGGTTAGAGAACCATTGGAAAACCTGGGAGTACTAGACAACTGTTTTGTCCTAGTTTGGGACTCTTCAGAAGTACGCACACACTGCCACGATTCGAACCCAAAACCTTCTGGTTACAAGGCTAGTCAGCTCGTAGTCCATTCATCCACTAGGACCCTATCCGATAGCATATGATGCTCACTGGCGACTTGCCCTATTCAGGTAGGTAGTTACCTGGATTCTAATGAGAAGTCGTAACGAGTAGGGTACGGCAGGTCGGGTGTGAGGACAAATACTCACAGGAGATATTGGCTAGCGGTCGCGCTATGTCGTGAATTGGCAGAAGTCAGAATTCATGGATCAGAAGGTCTTTGGTTCGAGCACTGGCGGTGGGTGTGTATTGTTGAAGAATCCCGAACTAGGATGAAATAGTTGTCTAGTACTGCCAGGTTTTCCAATGGTCCTCTAACCGATGTCAGTTAATGATGAAATCCTGTAACAAAAAAGATTATTTGTTCATTTTCGGTGATATGCAAAGTCGCTTTTCCGTCATTTATGTCTCAGAATTAATAGAAGTAATCAATATTTTACTATAATAGCACTTAATTGTAATTTTGACAAAGGCCGATTATTTTATCAGTTACAAAAGTAAAAATAAAAATGTTTTAATAATTAAGTATAAAATCTAGTTATTATTAAGCCTATTTAAATGATTGTGATGGATTATACAGGTTAACCTAACCAAATGGTCAATATATATATATATATATATATATATATATATATATATATATATATATATGATAGAGAAGATTTGTAGCTCAGGTGGATGATTTTGATGTGGTTTTGTTCGCTGAGCTTACTGGGTGATGAAAGCTTCGCAAACTAACCATCCAGCTCAGTGAACAAAAACCACATCAAAAAATATATATATATATATATGTATATATATAACCTATTTTGTTGACTTCATACAAAAATCATGCCCATACAAGGGAATTTTTTAAAAATCGCCCATAGGGTAGATTATAATTATTTGTAAGTCTATCCAGTCCGGTATACAACTCGAGTTTTCTTGATAAGTAATGATTTCAGTCCAAGAATATTGTGCTAACTGAAATTGTAGACAAAAAATAGTAGTGTTAGGCTTGTTTTGTTTATCGTCTATTGAATGGTGGAACAGTTCACTGTCTCATATATATATATATATATATATATATATATATATATATATATATATATATCACATAATTTCAGGTCACATAAAGTAATGCATAACAGATGCTCTTAGAAAGCCATCCGATTGTGAAAACTATTAATAAAATCTCTCCTCCAACTCATTTTGGAATTAGAAGAATTTACCTGGCAATACATTTTACACCGTAGAATTACTCACTCATCTTTAATTTAAGCGAAAAAACTTCTTAAAATCAGTATGAAAATAGTAAGTGATGAGAAATAATAATAATTTTCTTGGCAAAGGTAAACGTGCATCGGTCTTTCAAGGGCAGGATGCTCTCCACGCATCCAGGTGTTTTGGGGTTCGATTCCCGGCAGGCGCAAACCTCAGCCGGTCACTAGACCAAAAGAACGGGAAGTTTCGGGCGTGATGTTATCTACCCCACCTCGTAAAAAACACCACTGCTACCGGAACTAGAAAGTTCATGCTTGAAGCCCTATTTTCCAATTGGAACGCATAGCAACAAAAAACACTGCGCCGGTAATCTCTGATGAATGAGTAGTGAGAAAAGTGATCATAGCTAATTTATTTTCAAAGGACTTTGAAACAATTACACGGAAATAATTCTGTTCTCCTCTTAAAATTCACATCATAACCTTGAAAACGTTTAAGGATTTTAAAATCTTTGATTGGGCACCAGTAACTAGAGGGAAGTGTCTAGTCCTTTCTTTGGTGCAGACTGAATTCTATCAGTTAGGTTTGCAATATGGGTGACTCGGGTTCGAATCTCAGAAGGGGCATTAGTTCCTTCAAGGTTTCAGATACGCCTTGCTGACTGATAAGTGCCATTTAGCATGAAACCTAGATCAGGCTGGGCTTCCTGCCGATTGCTTCCAACCATCTAATATCGACGATTCTAAAATCTGCCAATAC